GAGACCTGCCAGCAGCTCCAGGGCAGCTCTGATGCTTCAGCCCCTGCTAGCGACAGATGTCACTGGCAGGACCCTGTCACTGGGAAACCTGCCCAAAAGACAGCTCGGCCAGGACTGGCGCATAGCTGCGTCCTCATGCCCCCACAGCACCATCCAGTCTGTCGAGCGTGTCGTCTTCTCTTCTGCATCCATCAGGCTTTCCTCGTGCATCTGTGACGTGCGAGGCCAATCGTTCGGTCAGCGCCACCTCCGTTTGCCTCGGGCTTTTCCATGGGAGAGGCCGGGGGACCACGCGCTGGTGCGACACTGCTGCCTGCCCCCACTCTCCCCATCACATCCGTGGCCACCTGCAGGGAACAGCTCCTTCATCAGATCATTTGGTGGGACGTTGGTGGTAGAGGAGTGGGGATAGCTGGAGGCGAAGCTCTCAGCCCTCGAGCGGTATCTCCCGCAGGCTCACCCACTCTCTCCTGTCGCACAGGTCCACTTGCTGAAGGACCAGCTGGCGGCAGAGGCGGCGGCGCGGCTGGAGGCCCAGGCTCGCGTGCACCAGCTCCTGCTCCAGAACAAGGACTTGCTGCAGCACATCTCGCTCCTGGTCAAACAGGTGCAGGAGCTGGAGCTGAAGCTGGCGGGAAACAACACCAGTAAGCTTTTCCCCTTCCTCTCCCCTCCCAGCTAGCCAGGTCTGTGGAGGATGTGTGTGGGTGTTTCTCGGGAATTTTGTGCATTTCCAGTGGTTTTGTGTAGGGCACTATTAGCACCCTTCTAGTGTGGCTTGTGTGTGCTTGCGTGCAGGGTAGGGAGGGCTGTACAGATTGATAGTCACATACATCTATCAGCTGTGTGTCCACATTCCCCAGTGGCTGCATGCTCTAGGCCAGCTCCTTACCTGCCCAAGAACCCCTCCTTGACATTGCTCTCCAGGAGATGTAGCCATCATCTCACTGCAGGAGCTGGGGTGGTAGACACATAACTTTTTATCCTGCAAAACTGGCTCTGTGCTGGCCAGCAGCAGCTCCTGGCACCAGTGACA